AGATAGAGTCGTGCTCTGTTGGCCAGACTGGAATGCAGTGGCACAAACTTGGCTCAGTGCAACCTCCATCTCCTAGGCTCAAGCAATTCTCCTGCCTCAGCCTCCCAACTAGCTGGAATTACAGGCTACTTCAGAGTTGTATCACCATGCCTGGCTAATTTTTATAATTTTAGTAGAGATGGTGTTTCACCATGTTAGCCAGATTTGTCTCAAACTCCTGACCTCAGGTAATCTGCCCACCTCGGCCTCCTAAAGTGCTGGGATTACAGGCGTGAGCCACTGTGCATGGGCCTATTATTTTTTTTTGTTAAGTTTCAAACTTATTCTTACCTGGTTCAAAAACAGTTTCATATATACAAATAGCACTGTGGAAGGTTAATTCACACAAACTTAGTTAATGCTTCTTCATACAAACTTAGTTAATGCTTACCACAACACTGCAATGTAGATAACATAAAAACTAAGTAATTTGTTCAATATCCCCAGATGATAAGCAGAGGGAATGGAATTAAGGCTCCTGGTTACATTATCTTAAAGATTCTGTCCATTACATCACATTAAGTTGTCTTTCATTTTCTTTTTTTTTCCCAAGACTGAGTGTCTCACTCTGTTCCCAAGGCTGAAATGTAATGGCAAAAATCTCAGCTCACCACCACCTCTACCTCCCTGGTTCAACCAATTCTTCTGCCTCAGTCTCCCGGGTAGCTGGTATTATAGGAGCTTGCTACCCCGTGCCCCCGCCCAGTTTTTGTATTTTTGGTAGAGATGGGGTTTCATCATGTTGGCCAGGTTGGTCTCAGACTCCTGACCTCGGGTGATCTACCTGCTTCAGCCTCCCAAAGTGCTGGGGTTACAAGCATGAGTCACCATGCCCAGCCCAAGCTGCCTGTCTTAATATAGTCACTGAGGCATTTATCAAGCACCTATGATAACAATAACAGGATTAGTATACTAGGAAAATACTCATTTAAAAGGACTGAGGAAATGTACACTGGGACTGGTAAAGCAGAGTTCTAATGTAACTATAAATAATAAAACTTACAGAAGAAAAATAATTAGTAAATAGGTTAATAGAAAACAAACCTAATTTTAAAATGATTGAGGGAAAAATAAATATGTCTATGTTTAGAACAAGAGAAACTGTTTAACTACTGAACATAAAATTTGCTTTTTTTTCCCTTCAGGACACCTGTTACCTGGCTATGAATGTAAAATTTTCTGACTTTTTGTTCTTTTAACCAAGCTGTACTTTGGTTTGGCTTTCTGGTCAATTCACTTAAGAGAGATGGTTCATAATAATTAAGCATGTTTGAATACTAACTGTAGCATTATTTCCCACCGTCTTAAAATTTTTCATCAAACTTAATAAGAAATGAGGTATATTTTACAAACAACTTTTAGTTTTCTTGGAAGAAAGGTAGTAAATACTACTACCATTATATATAATTTATTAAAGGGGCAAAGAGGTTATTTCCTTAACTAGTCTTAAAAGGAGGAAGACTGTTAATAAGAGTACTTTAAGACACAATATATTCATATTCCACATTCTTTGTTTTAATTGTAATCTGCTGAATGTTCATGCAAAAGATTTATTTCAAATCTTCTCTGTGCAAGGCATTATACTTAGTACTATAGGAATACAAACAAGGCTATTAACTAAGATGTTATCCCTAACTTCACGGAAAAGAAGATAAAAGAAAGTGTGGTTTTCTGTTTACATGAATCAATTTAGCTCTCTTTGAGAACTATCTGTGGGTATCAATATGCATTTTTAGGATTAAAACAGAAACAATGGGCAAAACAGAAACAATGGGCCAGGCGCAGTGGCTCACACCTATAATCCTAGTACTTTGGGAAGCAACGGCAGGCAGATCACTTGAGGTCAGGAGTTCAAGGCCAGCTTGACCAACAAGGTGCAACCCTGTTTCCACTAAAAATACAAAAATTAGCTGGGTGTGGTGGTACGTGCCTGTAGTCCCTATGCAGGAGGCTGAGGCAGGAGAATCACTTGAATCTGGGAGGCAGAGATCACGCCACCGCATTCCAACTTAGGCAACACAATGAGACGCCATCTTAAAAAAAAAATTCTGTTCTGGGTCTCCTCACAGATTCACATATTCTTTCTAACATGCTTTATTATTTCCTGATAAGACAATCAAATGATACATATGTAATCATTAAAAAATTTAAAGCTACTCATGAAAGGTACATAAAACAAGATAATATTTCTTTGAATTTAGCAGTCATATATTTGGGTCTACTTTTATTATATTGCCAACTGCTATGGTTTGAATGTTATGTGTTCAAAGCAAACTTTAATGCAATAGCATTGAGAGGTGGGACTTTTAAAAGGTGATTAGGTCAAAGGGCACTGCCCTCACAAATAGATTAATGTCATTATCATGGAAGTGGATTTAATTTTTTGAGAGTGAGTTGGTTATAAAAGCAAATTTGGCCCCTTCTCGATCTCTCTCCCTTTGCTTTGCCCTGGGATGACTTAACTGGAGGGTCCTCAACAGATGTGGCCCCTTAATCTTGGACTTCCCAGCCTCTAGAACCATGAGCCATATAAATTTCTGTTCATTATAAATTACCCAGTCTCAGGTATTCTGCCATAGCAGCACAAAACAAATTAAGACACCACCTTCTGCTTCTAGCCCCAACCTGATATATCAGAGTCAAGTATGAGGATTAATCAAAATCTTGACCTAAGACATACATATACATACATACATACATATATAGATGTATGTATATAGCTTGCAATTATGAAAGCTAAGGCAAAACAGTGATTATCTGGGTGCTCTGCTGTGTACTAGAATTATCCAAGGTGCAGCCTGCCATACTCCCCTACTAGAGATTTTAATTCTACAGGTTTAGGTGCACTCAAGAACCTGTGTTTTCAGATAAATATATTTGGAGAAACACTGATCTTCAGAATTACCATCAATACAGCACTAGAGTCCCTAACTTACCATCTATCTGTGTCATTTTTTAAGATGCCAGAACTATTATCATTTCTTTCAGTATTTCTGAAGTGGAACTATGTGCTGACCTCCATAGCACATATCGTCAACTATATACACTCATGTTTCTGCCCACTTCCCACCAGATAGATGAATAGATAAAGACAGTTACAGACTGATAGATCAACCTACTCATTTACCTAATATATATTAAAGAAAGCAGATATTTTGCCTGTATATCAGAAAATAATTCAAATGTTTCAAGATTTTTCACATCTGAGAAACCTGAATTTCTGTCATTAAAAAACCAACAAATAAAAGCATAAAGCTACCGCTGAAAGAAACTTCCAGAAAAGTTCCCTGAAGATTTTAAGTTAACAACAGTCCTTAATTTACCTGCCATCACGTTGAGCAGCACCACCTTCTGTTACTGTCTTGACGAATATTCCCAACTTTTCAAGTCCAGCATCAGCTCCAACACCCATTCCAATAATACTTATACCAAGACCATCCTCATCTATTAAAAAGAAAAAAAAAATAAATATACAAGGGGAAAATTTTAATTATTTC